GAGAAGTGTTTCTCTGTCAGATACTCTGTAATTAATCTAATACTTTCTATTATATGATAATATCTCAGAAGAGAATATCAAGATATTTGATAATATTATCAAATATTTACAACACTGATTCACATACTTTTATTTATAAATGACACTTCTATTTCACATGATTCTTTAATTATTCATTGATATATCAATTTTAATTGATTAGTGAACTGATCATATCTTCATCTACACTCAGTTTCACAAGCATTTTCATTCTTCATAATGAGTGAAGAGTGAGATCAGAAGTATTAAAATATATAAAAGTATCTAAGCATTCTTTCAGTACTTTTATATTCAATTCTGTAGATATTGAAATTGTATAAGTTTCTTGTTAAGTTAATCATTGAATTTTCTTATATTGAAGTTATTGAGTTATATATATATCAGCTATCTATTACTGTTATAATTTTAACATTGCTCAGAGTCACTGTGATATTATATCTATACTCACATTCAAGAGTTCTCTTATATTATTATTAGACATGATTATATTGATTGTTGAATATATAATGTCTATGAAATTAGAAGAAGTGTAATTATATAAATATCTCATATATCTGTGATATCAGAACTTTCAGATCTTTTACTGATATTCTCTTTATAAGATCTTACTCTCTTTATAAGATCTTGTTACAGAGTCAGAGTGACTGATCAGCAAGCTTCTATCTGAGAACTCAGTGTTTACTTAACTATTTAACTGTTTCTCTATTTCTTACACATCATTATATGTTCAGATATCTCAGTGAGTAATCATTTCTAATAAGAAGACAATGAATGTTTTTCTAGTAGAAGAGATCTACACTGAATAGATCAGTATAATATATAGGTCTTATATAACAAAGAGAAAAACATTAGAGAAGGAAAGAAAGAGAAAGTGTGAGAATCAGTGATCAGAGTGAATATTTATATGCATATACAGTGGCATACACAGTGAAGCTTCAGGGTGAAAGAATAGAAATTTCATAGGTTTTCAGCTGAGAATCAGCAACCGAGAATCGGAGCGGTAGAAATCTGTGAAGTGTAACGGAATAGTCTATATAATTGATCGGGCGCAGCCCGCTACAAATAATAATAAAAGAGAGAGTGCATTGAAATATATTACCAACTTATTCAATATAAAGAGACTTAAAGAAAATATTAACAGTTTTCAGAGATGTACAGAAACAGCTACAGTATTATATAGTAATAATATCTTTATTTAATACATACACTGTTGATATTCTTTATATATAATTATTATATAATCTGTATCAGAGATACATGCAGAAAACAGATCTTTATTACTAGAGTAAATAATTACAGTAATTCTCTGTTTTTATATTATAAAGATAAGTTATTCTTATTTCTTTCTTCTCTCTTTTCTCTTTTTCAAATCATCACTAATTTCAAGCTGATACAAAAACTATTAAAACACTCTCAGAAATTCTTAAATTAAAGAGTATAGACTAATTAAATTTTTAATAAATATAGTAGAAATTAAATTATCTTTTAAAATAATTAATTACTCACTCTTTCTTAATAAAATAGTAGTTATATTCTCTCTCTCTCTTAAACAAATATAATATAAGAAAAGTGAGTATTACATCAGATTATAATAGTTAATACAGTCTCAGTATACAGAGCTGTATACATGCAGTGTGTACTGAATTAAGAAGCTGTATAAGTTATATATCAGTATCAGTATCTCAATAAGAGCTGTAAAGTGTGAGAAAGTTATAATTCTCACTTATATACACAGAGAGTGAATTACTGAAGTAAGTATTTATATATTATATAAAAGTAACACTTTTTAATAATACTCAGTCTCTAATATTATGAAAATACAGTCTCTTTATAAGATTTATTTTTATCAGAAGTCAGAGAATCTTATATTTCTTAAGATTATCTTTATATATCTTATCTGTGAAATTAATGAGAAGAATTATTAATTTTAGTATTCTATTTTTAATATTATTTGAGTAACAGTAGAGTTCACTTTAATTATACTTTTTAAGTGTATATTTTCTAATTATTCATATTTATACAGATATATACTGATTATTTATTAAATAATATTAAGATAATAACTTATTAAAGCTGTGTTACTCTTACTATAAGAGATATACAGTTAATAATAAATATTATAAAGACTCTGAGAAGTAAGTATTTTAAGAGTATTACAGCTCTATAATTTTGATTTTTTTTATTTTCATTTTTTATTTTTTTCTTTTTCTTTTATTTTTTTTATTTCTTTCTCTTTTTTTTCATTGTGATTTTTTCTTGTTTTTATTTTATTTTATATTTTTTTATAATTAAAATTATATGAATTATAATCTATATTTAGAAAAGTAATGATATTTAATAATACTCTCTATTAAATTTTCAATAAATAAGCACTATATTATAATATTATATAAGTAAGAAATGATTTTATAATCTTATTTAATATCATTTTCAATAATAAGATCAGAATAAAAATATGACTAAGAATTCAAATATATTTTTTATCTGAAACTAGATTTTTATTTAAAAAGTAAATCTGAGATCTTTAATACTTGAAATAATATGATTTAAGATTAATGTAATAAATATAAATTATAATCAGAAGTAATGCTTTTAGATAATATAATAACTATAAAGTTTAATTCTAGTCTCAGACATGATTACATAATCAGTCTACTTACAGAGATATATTCACTGTCTGTATTTCTATTTATATGAGAATACAGAGATTACTTACAGACTTGTTATAAAAGTTTATAATAAATTAATTGATTTTGAAATCAATAGTTCTTTTCAATCTTGTAATAAGTGACTGCAGAATCACTAATACAGTATTTTAGTATTTAATTAATTAATAGATCTTCAATTTAAAAGTATAAAGTATAAGAATTTAATTTTTGAAAGAATTAGCAGATTCTTATATATAAGAAGAGACATAATTTAATAAAAGTAATATAATATAGTAGTTAATTATTTATCAAGATCTATCTATTATACAGTCTTTCATATGTGATAGATATTTACTAAGCAATTGATAAACACCTCACTTATACAGAAGTAATCAGTCTGTAGAGAGAGAATCTGATATTACTTATAATAAAAAGATTTTTTATACTAAAGAATAAATAACTATAGTAAGCTTTTAATTAAGAAAAAAATATTATAAATATAACAGAATAATAAAATTATTAAATTTTTTAAATTTATTATTAATACAGTTTTTTTATTAATAAAGATATAAATTATATATAAGAAAATAAAAACTTCTGAAGCTATTAAAAAGAATAAATAGATTTATAAAAAAAATATCAAGTTATAATATATTATTTTTAGAATAAAGAAATAATATTATAAAAAAAAGATAAATAAAAAATA